TCTACAACTTTTATCTGAAAACTTTTTGTCTAAAATACCGTATGATCGAATAAAAACGGCGTCAGCGATGGCTATGAAATGACGATCGATGATATTTTCCATATAATTTTACATATAAAATGACAACGATCTTGATTTCATAGCCATCGTTGACGCAGTTTTTATTCGATCATACGGTAGATTATAATGGAATTAGAGACAAGTTTTAAAATAGCCAAATTTTTTTTTTTCGTAATATCTAGTAAGCCTTGAACTTCACCGAAAAATCCGAAAGGCGCATATTTAAGACCCCACAAAACTGCAGTTCTTTCCCCATTTAACCGACTCTCTGTCTCCAGTAGTTTCCGAGATACCCATAGCGAACATCGTAGGAAACTCACCCTGTATAGTATTTAGAAACTAACTATTATTATTATTTGACTAGATTTATTTGATTAATAAGACTCGATTAATTTATTTTAAAATAAATTTGATCAGATTTTTTTTTCGTATATTCTACTACCAGAAAACCAAAATTATATGATAAGCACTTTTCAAAGAAGTTGAAAGAAGATATAGTGTATCTATCACAATACTTAATAGAATTACTACAATTAGAAGAAAAACAAAAAGAAAAAATACCCAAATACCTTCACCACTCATCTACAAAATAAACGAATATAATCTCTTATAAAAACACTACACAACTACTTCTTGTACTTTACACTGAAAAAATGATCAAACTTACTAATTAACCAAACAAAAAGAAAAAATAACTAAATTATCCCTTCAATTCATCCTACTTAACTACAAAATAATAAACTATAAAAACACTACTAAACTAATTCTGGTATTCTACACTAAACATTATAATTAAACTTAATAAAATTAATCTAATTACTACAACCACAACAACTACAAAGAAATAAGAACATTTTTTAAAACTAAAAGAAACAGAACTTCGATACGTGCGACCAGTATAATAGATCAAGCTGACAAAGAATATAAAATACTTTAAAAATGTGCATTCAGAAAGAAAAAATATCTCGAAAATTATCTAAACAAACAATTTTTTTTCTTATCAGTGAAAAGCATCGGCCTCGTCGGCCTTGCGGAATTTGTCGAGTATTTACAATGGTCGAATTGAATAATTACCAGCTTTTATAGCATATCTAATAGACAAAAAGTATCTGGTCGATTAGTAACCAATTGGCATAGGCCGAAAATTATCGATTTTTATTTTCTCTGTTTTTATTGGTCGCTTCAAAATTCAGAGTAACAAAAAATATTTTTCTGTAGTAAAAGACTATGAAATACGCCCCGCCATCTGGTGCTTTACATCCATAAACGTCTTAGGTTGAGCTACTTTAAAAATTCATATACAAAGGTTATACTGATTGACGCCATTTTGTTTCAGATTATTTTCATTAACGCCATAATGGGATTTTATAAATTCTTAATGTCTTATCGGTATTTTTACCCCTCTCTATGGGTATCACTGTGTAATCTTTGTCGTCAATCTTTCGTCAGTTTTCGCCAGGTGATCGACCTGCCCATCGTTATTTGTAAAGATATTTAATTCTCTAGGTCTCGTCTGTTACCTGAGTCTCCTGTATCCTCTTGCCCTTTCATATTTCAGCATATGCCGGTCCATAAACATTTGTGCTATGTGAATTTTTTATTAGAGTAACTTTTGTATAATACTGTCTGTATAAATAGTTTGTGTAATATTTTTTTTGGATATGGGTTGTGAATATGTGAACTTATAATGTTAAACAGCAGTCTATGTATGTTATCTGGGTTTTGCATAGATTAAGTCCTTTTTCAGAGATAACGTGGATATTACCGATTTTTTATTTTCTTATAAACTCCCGTTTTAATTTGATTAGATCCTGTATTTTTTATTTATAAGTAAAAATATTTTCACAAACTTTCTAGAATTGCTAGAAAAATTCTGGCAATTTTAGCCTGCCGACTAAAGAGGATGATAAAAACTGATAACTAATTACAGCAATGTCAAATACTGTATATTATCTCTTGGAAGCTTTTTCGTTCTAGTTATAACTAGTTTTATTAATCCATATAATATAGTATTGTATAAAAAATAAACGTGGGAAGTATATGTGATTAAATACTTTGTTTGCTAGATTGTTAATTACTGCTACTAAATTACTTTCCTGATATTCCTTTTTAATAATATAAATAATTTTCTTTTTCATAAAGCTCTTAATAGATAAAGCTCGTCTTTATTTGTCTTGATATATTAAAATATCTGAGTTTATTTTGAAACCTTTACGGTTACAACAAAAAATTACACTTGTCACCATAAATACACATGTCACCATAGGAACACTTATTAACATACACACTGGACATAAACTCTGGACACGTTTTGCTAACCATGTTAGCATCATCACCAGATGATTAAATCCGTTTTTAATTATCTGCCTATGATTCTAACATGGATAACGAAACGTTCTTCCTATATTTTTCTATTGAATTATTATTTATTTTCTTCATTCTTTTTTACTTCATTTTAAAATTAATTTTCTGTTATGTTTTTTTACTGAAAATTTTATTTGCAATGTACTTATGTAAAAAATGTAAAGAAAGTTGATCCATTATTAGACAATAATTTATTATTTATATTATTAAGTAATTAGTAATTTACGAGATAAGTTGTGCTGTTTAACCCAAATACAAAGATAATGTATTGTCATATATTCTGCCGCTGTATATTGAAGTTTACGTAACTTTAAAAATAATCTGATCATAGCAGATGTTACTGTAGCACAGATTTTGTCAAAAAAGAACTGTTATCAGATGCTTGTCTTTAAAATTATCAATACGTCACGACTTCTTATTCATGACATAAAAAAAATATAATTTCTATTTTTCTCTTATTAAGTATATCTGAAAATAGTATATTATTCAAAGAGCATATAATGGTGGCTGTTATTCACGCGGATGAAGTTTATGTCATAAATCATGCAGGTGAATAACAGCCATTATATGCGAGTAGAATACTATACTTTATCCAGGACTATCAAAAAAATTGGCGCCGGGAGGCACGTCTAGCCGCCCATACTAAAATATGTTAATAAAAAGTTAGTAGGCAGTTCTTTTAGTTTCAAAGTAAAGGAATTTAACCAAACCAAACCATACCAGGAAGGGAAGACTGGAGTAAAGGTGTACCCATTCAAGCTGAGGCAACCTGGTATACAGACGGCTCAAAAACGTCAGAAGGCGTAGGAGCTGGAATAGTAGGGCCGAAACAAGGGAGATCCTTCCACGTAAGCCTATCCAAGGATGTCACAATTTTCCAGGCAGAAATAACGGCAATCCACTATTGTGTAGAAGAAATAATAAGGCAACAAAGAACAAATCGTTCTGTGGCCATCTTCACAGACAGCCAAGCGGCGCTAAAGGCACTCAGCTCCGCGGAGGTCAATTCTAGACTAGTGTGGGACTGTGTGCGTGCTCTGAATACTTTGGGCGGACGTAGCACTGTTACGTTGGCCTGGGTGCCAGGGCACGAGGGTCACAAGGGGTAACGAAAAGGCAGATGAAAGAGCCAAGCAGGCTCATCAATGCCATTCATAGGCCCAGAACCCTTCTGCGGCGTTGCAAAGGCGGTCACGAGAATGGCCACGGAACGATGGGTGGCCAACAAATCTCTAGAATGGTGGAGAAACTCACCAGGGCAGAGACAGGCGAAAAGGTTCATTGTAGAACATTCGCCAAAATTCACGGTAGACTTGATAAGCAGACAGAAAGACAGTCAAAGCTGTAGTAGATCTACTAACAGGGCATTGTAAGCTAAATAGGCATCTAAAGCTGATGGGATTGACAGACGAAGCTATGTGAAGGTTCTGCCAATCTGAAGAAGAAACGTCAGAACACATTTTATGTCGGTGTGACAGCCTGGCAAATGTGCGGTTCCCGGTAATAGGAATGATAGGCCATTGCCAAGGAGCTACATGGAGGGTTCAGTCTCCAAGTTGCTAAACTTTGTGAAAATGATAGGACTGGAGAATGTAATCTAAGGATCAGAAGAGGACCACAATAGATCTGAGAAGGTCGCAGTGGATCAGGCCGAAAGCCACCTCTAAGAATCTAATCTAATCTAAAGGAATTTTTCCAATTTTGATCCACGGTTATTTCTCCTATCCGCCACCTGGGGTCGCGTCCGATGGGAGTTTGGAGTTCTCCAAACGGATTTTCTTAAAAACGGACTACGGAAACACGGAATATCTCAAAAACTGCGACTTTGACTGATTTTGATGTTATTACAAATTTTGTTCCAAATATTATTCCTAATCTTAAATTGAAAACTGCGTTTCGCTAGCTACTGTAATTTTGGAGTTACGATTTTTTAAAATTTTTAACCCCCTCCCATACCCCCTTACCAACCCCCCACCCCCACCAAAAACATGGCCAGATTCTCGGGTGCCACAGTATTTTTGTGCCAAATTTGGTTAAAATCTGTTTAGCGGTTTTTGAGTTATTGTGTTACAGACGGACAGACAGACAGACAGACACTATGAAAATATTTTGTATTTAGGTCATTTATGACCCAAATAACTCATTTTGAGTGAAATTAAAAAAACTTTTTTTTGCCGATCTTAATAGCCTACCATACCTGTTGGTATGGTGGGCTAAAAATTAGATAATATTAATATAACTTTTAATTTTTAATGTCAAAAAAATATTGAACAAGTATAACGAGTAAGTAACATGGAAACAAAACATTGAAATTTTCTTTAACTAGGTAGCTAACTAATTAAAACAAAAATTATTTATTTACATTAATGGTAATGTTTGACAGCTTTTGTTTGAAGTTTGGATCGAGATATTCGTGTAGGCGGTGAATAATGAAACCATTATTCACTAGTATATATATCCATAAACTCATGTATAATAATCAAGTTATAAACGAGTCGTGGATAAAATATATTATATGTCAAACTCTATGGTAGACGGGTGACCCTTAAATTAATATAGTTTATTCTTGTTTTCAGCTAGGAATTATCTACAGGGACATCAAACTAGAAAACATCTTGGTAGATGAAAATGGTCACATAGTTCTTACGGATTTCGGGCTATCGAAGGAACTGTCACGGAGCGATGGTGAAGAACGAGCTTATTCATTTTGCGGTACCATAGAATACATGGCCCCGGAAGTGGTTAGAGGAGGAACTCAGGGACACGATATCGTAAGTACAATTTTATTTGTATTTAATATGTAAGTTTAATATTATATATTTGTATTAATATTACAATGTTCTTATTTCATACTGTATCTTAAACCACGATCCGGGTAATTTTTTTAAACAGACTAGGTAAATTCCTTTTCATACCCTCCTGATGATTTTTTTTATATCAACTGCTCGCAGCCTTGTTAAATTTCTCCATAACTTCTGTCGGAATCCGATTTTCAGTACTTATCGACTCTATTTTATCATTTTTTTAATAAGTAAATTCCTTTAATAACACTGGCTCTTAACGGGCTCGACTTAAGGTAAATAAAATTAGAATAGCTGCGTTGCCTGGATATCCCAAAGCATTCTGCATCAAATTGAAATTTTATGTCAATACTGACAATGTCATCATCATTATTTTCAGCTTATTCAACCATTTGCAATTATGATGTAGCCTCACTCACATACTCTCTTTGTAGTTGGGCCCATTGTTGTCTTTATTTTCGGTGAGGAGGAAAAAAAACTTACATAAGATACCCACAATTTGGTAGTGCCGGATTCTTACCGGCTAAAAAAACCTGTTCCAACTACCACTTTACACTGGAATCCGCTCTCGCATTGCTTCAGTGCTAAGGGTGTCTATAGATTTATGATGCTCGTTGTCTTTCTTCCCTCTCTTTACAACTTATTATATTTCGCACTATCTGATATACAAACTTCCATTGTTCTTCCCCTTTAACTAGGTATATCGTAAATGCGGGTAAGTCAAAATCTGCCGGTTTCTATACGGAATTGTTCCCTAAAGACCTGCCATCGTTCACATGCAAATAGAGTATGTTGAACATTATCATCTTGACCACAATAGATGCATGGCCAGACAATGCTTGACTCCAAATTGTCTGTTTAACCATAGTTGTATGTCGGGTATTAACCTGTTAGTCTATCTGCCATATACTCCGTTATTCCATTTCTCTTGCCACTGTTGGAGAAGTTTTATCCTTGCTAGATTTTTATCCATCCCATGGTATCTATCATATCGTTCCTGTATGAGCAGATCAATAGGCGCTATTTCAGATATAACTCCTATAGCTTCACCAGATACAGTTTTGTATGTGCTGCATACCCTAATATACATAATGCGTTGTATTCTGCGTAGTCTTTGCATTAGCTTGCAATTGTTAGTGACTTTATGCCATGCCGGCGCAGCATACAACAGCTGCGAGTGTACAACACTAGGAAGTACTCTTCTTTTGGATGCTCTAGCACCTCCTACATTTGGCATGAGTAAGGCTAAAGCGGTGATAGTTTTCTCGGCCTTGGTGATGGTTTTATTAATATGGTCCGCAAAATTCAATTTGGTATCCAGCCACACTCCTAAGTATTTTAAAGAATTACTTGGGTGGTCCATTGTTGTCTACTGTTGGCTATGCGGGCCCAAGTTATCCCTGCTAATCCCTAATATCATCCATATCCCATCTCAGGTTCGATCTTCTTCTAGGTCTCTTAATTCTTTGTGGATACCATGCTGTAATTTTTGTGGTCTATCTGTTATCCCTTTGCCAGGTGTCCTGCCCATTGCCAATTGAGGGATTTTACTCTGTGGATGACATCTATTACCTAGGTCTTTTGTCGTATCCACTCTATTCTTTTACTTACTCTTGGTTATTCCCAGCATATTTCGTTCCATTGAGCGTTGTGCGTTCTGCAGTTCCAGGATTCGCATGCGCATTGCTCGAATGTTTTCTTCTTTAGATAGAGTGGCATTTTAGATTTGAATATGATTGACTAAGTACTCCATGCTAACTTAATTCTTCTGTTAATTTCTGGTAGTAGAGATCCCGAGCTTTGTAGTAGTTGTCCCAAATATATATATTCTTCTACTATTTCCACTGTTGTGTTATTGATTAGAATGTCTTTCTACTAGTTCGTTGTACATTACTTTAGTTTTAGCTAAATTAATTTTAAGACTTAATTTATTGCTGGCTGTATTTAGTTAGTTAATTTGTGCTTGTAGTTCTTCGGGACTATTGGCAATTGGGACTATGTCATCAGCAAATCTTAGATGGTTAAGATATTCTCCGCATCTAATTTTAATTCCCTGTTGGTCCAGTTCATTTGACCGAAGATTTCTTCTAATATTGCTCTAAACAACTTTGGGGATATCGCTGACAATGTATCATCCAGTAAATACAATAGTATCCAAAACGTACACAAGCCGATTAAAAATTACTCGATTATTTATAGATATAAGCTTCATTCAGAACCTCGAAATCAGTGGAATAAGTTAGTAGTTTCGATTAGTCGTAGAAGTTTGTTCATCTAATTTTAATGTAAGCATTCAGAACGTCATAATTAGTGGTAGTAATTTTCAATTATTGGAAACAGTTAACAAACTTTTGATTTTTCCATTAATTATACTTCAAAATTTGCTAGAGAAATGTCATTTTGGCCTTTGATTATCAACCGTCAAGAAAAATTTTGGTTAGAAATCAAAAGTTTATTGTTTTATAAGCTAAATATTATGCTTTCTCTATGGATAGAACAGAGTACTGCAAGCTGTTACTAGGATATTTTATTAATTTTAATTATGTTTTAGACATTGTGAATGATCGTAAACTAAAAAGTATAAATGTAATTGAAACTATTAATTTATTCCACTAATTGGGAGGTTCTGAATGAAGCTTGAGGTTTTATCCAAACAGTATGAAAATCGGACATTGAAAGTACCTACTCGGTTTTTTCAGAATAGAGAAATCAACAAGGAAATCTTAAAATATTCAAAATATATAGATGTACGAGGCATGTTTTTTAAGTAGAAGTACCGTTTTGGAATTAAAAAAAAACGTGCAAAGATATCGCAATAATTTTATTTTTACATGAAAGCCTGTACCTTAATCTACTTTTCTACATAATTTCCGTGAATATTGAGGCACTTGTCATAACGTGGCACCAGTTTTTCAATACCCTCCTCATAAAATTCTGCCGCCTGACTGGTTAACCACTGTATCACAACTGTTTTGACCTCGTTATCGTCTTGAAGACGTTGACCGCCCAGGTGTTTCTTCAAGTGCAGGAATAAATGGTAGTCACTGGGCGCCAGATCAGGGCTGTATGGAGGATGATCTAGAGTTTCCCATTTAAAAGATTTGATGAGATCTTTGGTCCGATTAGCCACATGTGGACGGGTATTGTCATGTAGCAAAACAATACCCTTACTCAACTTGCCGCGTCTTTTGTTTTGGATTGCACGGCGATTGATTGTCTCATTATGAGGCAGAAACTCCACTAGCAATACTCCTTTTCTGTCCCAAAAAACTGTGCACATGATTTTCCGGGCAGAAATTGTTTGCTTAAACTTCACTGTTTTGGGTGATGATGAATGTCGCCATTCCATGGACTGTTGTTTCGATTCTGGTGTGACGTAGGCCACCCATGTTTCGTCACCAGTAACAATTTTGTCTAAAAAATCTTCACCTTCATTGTGGTACTGCTCAAGGAAAGTCAAAGCACTGCCTAAACGTTGGGTTTTGTGCAAATCCGTCCACATTTTCGGAACCCAACGTGAACACAATTTCCGGTAATTCAAGTTCTCGGTCACAATGCGATACAAAACACTACGAGAACATTGAGGAAAGTAGTCGCACAATGATGAAATTGTAAAGCGTCTGTTTTCTTTCACCTTTTCGTCCACTTTCTGCACCAAATCTTCATTAACGACCGAAGGACGCCCACTCCGTTCTTCATCATGCACATTTGTGCGGCCATCTTTAAATGCTCTCACCCATTTCCTTACCATTCCATCACTCATAATGTTTTGTCCGTAAACTTCACAGATCTCACGATGAATATCGGTCGGTTTTACGCCTTTAGCACTAATAAATCGTATGACAGCCCGTACTTCACAATCGGCGGGGCTCACGATTGTCGGGGGCATCTTAAACACTCAATAAACAACGTATACAATGAAGAATCAGACAGTACTGGCGTCTGTGCATAGACAAGAGATGTAGGTAACCAGCGCGCATGCGCGGAACGCCGACCGTAGCGCTGCGGCGGCGGAATCGCAAAACGGTACTTACTTAAAAAACATGCCTCGTAGATAATAGTGCGTATTATTTTAAGAATTGTATTTTTGATCGACGTTTTATTGGTTAATTAGACGTCATAGTTGTTTGTCGCTTTAACAGCTATGATGTCTACTGAATAAACAAACATATTATTCATTTTCCGACCTTTACTGATGGCACTATTCGTGGAAGTGCAATTCGTAAACACAAATAGTTCAAGTACTTTGACATTTGTCTGGAACACGTTGTGTTCGTTAGCTCTCTAGTATTATCTAATAGACGACGGCATACGGAGAGCACTTGCGCTAGTTATTAATAGGTAACATTGAGAGAACGGGCATCCAGGATCGGCAAAAATGACCATGATCTTCGGATGCAGACGCGAAAATAGAAATTTTTTCGCTAATAATAGCGACACGGGCAACTAAACGGTTTGGTTAAATTTAATAGCTGGCCTATGCGGAATTAGTTACAGGTGGTTTGGGTACTGATCAAGGCCAGTTTGTGGTGTTATAAAATAAGAATTATTTTGTCCCATTCTGGAAGAATTTTGCCTGCATCAGGAATATTTCAAATATTTATCGGGACGCTGGAGAGGGGACATTAGTTTTCTCGATGTGTGTTTGATATTATTTTTTAAAGAGAGACTCAAAATGAAATGAAAAGGAGTTAATATTCCAGAGCCATCAATTAATAACATAATTATTCTACCTACAACACTGCCTGATTCACATTTTAACAAGTTTTTAACCAAAAATAAGAATTAAGCTTACATATCTAAAATGTCGTGTATTTAACTGTTTGAGTTCTTTGACAAAAAAAAATATTAAAATATTGTATGATCGAAATAAATGGCATCCAGTTGGCTTGAAAATGACGATCGATGACATCCCACGTGACTAAAAGTTTATTTGATACAAACTTTATACGATAGAATGTCGTATAAAG